ACGGGGGTCAAGTTTGGAGGGAGGGTGATGAAGGTGAGCAAAGACAGAACAACCAAAAACACGAAGAGGAAGATAGGAGTCCAGATGAGACACAACATGAGTTTCCCGGAGTCTGTCAAGAGGAGAGACATAGGAGAGAGTACGACACGGGAGGCGATTAATTAAGTGTGTGGCAGCAAGAAGGGCATCCCCCCAATAGAATTTAGGGACATGAGACGTGAACAATAGAGCACGAGCAACCTCAAGAAGTTGTTTATTTTTGCGTTCTGCAATACCATTCTGTTGTGGGGTGTGAGTGCAGCTACTTTTATGAACAATGCCATTATTTTTGAGGAAAGAATCAAGCGAGTTATTAAAGTACTCAGTTCCATTATCAGTATAAAGGACTTGGATGGATGTGTGGAACTGATTTTTCACATAGTTAAAGAATTCTGTAAATGTGGTGGTGACATCAGATTTGTCTTTTAAAAGGTAAACCCAACACATCCGCGTGTGGTCATCGATAAAAGTAACAAAGAATTTTGAATGCGTGCGGTTTGGAATGCGTGAAGGACCCCAGACATCACTATGTACAATCGAAAAAGGACGAGAAGAATGATAAGTGGAAGGAGAATAAGTGGTACGATGATGTTTTGCTAACTCACAAATGTCACAATGAAAGGTACTGTTTTTATTAAGAGATAAATCAGGAAAAACTTTTTGCATATAGGAAAAACTAGGGTGGCCCAAACGTTGATGCCATAACAGAAAATTACTGTCTTGAGAAGTGGAGGCAGATCCATTTATTCTTGAACACAAGGCGGTAACTGTGGAGACATCAAGGTAGTAGAGTCCATCATATTCTTCAGCCGTGCCAATCATTGTCCCCGAGGAGAGATCCTGAAAAATACAATGAGATGAAAAAAAATGAGCTGAGCAGTTAGTTTGTTTGGTCAACTTGCTAATAAACAATAGGCTACAGGCAAGGTGAGGAACATGCAAAACAGATTGAAGGTGAAGCTTATCATTGAGGTGAACGGTGCCTGTCCCAACTATAGGTGAGGATGAACCAGTGGCTGTTTTAATTGATTGGTTTCCAGCGGAAGGAAAATAAGAGACAAACATACTAGCTTCGGATGTCATATGATCAGATGCACCTGTATCGACAATCCACTTGGAGGGCATAAAGGAAGTTTGGAGAGCGATAGGAATACCTCTCTGGGCTACAGATGCAGAAGCAATTTGTTTTGTGGGCAAAGTCTTGAGGAGTTCCAGTAGTTGGCCCAGTTGATCAGGACTAATGCCGGGAAGAGATTCAGAATTAGGAGCACTGCCGTCCTGCACAGCATGATTTGCCCGAGGCCTATTACGTCGGGGTTTCCAATCTGCAGGCTTCCCAAAAAGATCCCAACACCTATCACGTGTATGCCCGGTTTTCCTACAATGATCACACGTTAGTTTCCCACGGGTTTGAGGAGGTCCATGATCAGTGTGTTTACTGACAAAGGCAGAGGAATCCGAGGCCGAGGCTTTAGGACCAGACAACATGACTTCCCGCCGTGTCTCTTCACGGCGAACTTCAGCATATACTTCTCTAGTGGAAGGTAGAGTGCGATGACCTAAAATCCTTGCCCGAACATCATCAAATTCAGGATTTAAACCAGCCAAGAAAAGGAGCACCCTTTCTGTTTCAACATTCTTCTTATTTCTGGCAGCATCAGTAGCAGAGGACCATTCTTCAATGGTGATCAAGTCCAATTCCTGCCGGAGAGCCACTAGTTCGAACCAGTATTCAGTGATACTGCGAGGACCCTGTACACATCGCCAAGTCTGGCACCGCAAGTCGAACAACCGAGAATGATCTTGTGTATCGGAATAGGAGTCACGGACAGCTTCCCAAATTTCTTTGGCCGTGGGAAGATACATAAAGGTCCGTTTAAGTTGAGGAGACATGGCATTGATCAGCTATGAAGAAACCAACGCATTATCAACCTTCCATTGCGCCATCGCAGAGGAGGCAGAATCTGACGGCATCGGCGAACTCCCATTGAGGAACCCAAGTTTGCCGCGACCTTCAACAGCGAGGAGAACTGCTTGGGCCCAATCACGATAGTTTGTGAGGGTCAACCGTTCAGAAACAATGGAGACGGGGGACCCAAAAACAGAGGATCCTTCTACAGCGCCAGACCCGTGGTACTCGCCGGCCTTAGACGTCGCAGTCGTGGAAGACCCATCAGTCGAAGTTGCCATGGTAGCAACGGTTTGGACTAGTCGACCCGAGAAGACGCACTGAGGGAACTATCGGACTGCAGAGAACGTCCACCACTCTGATACCATGTGGATAAACAGAGTAAAACCAATCCGTTGTATTTCCCTCGGTGATGACCGGTTAATTTAAATAGGGTACAGAGGAAATCTACCACCATAATCAGTGGGATTGAGAAAATAAAATCTTAATCAGATATTAGAGGTTTTCCCTTATATGAGCCGAGATATCCTCCTCTAATTCTAATATTTACAGATATTTACAGATAATATAATATTTACCACAATATTATCTTGAAGAATCTATCATGAGTAGTTTGTTTTCTCGAATCCTATGTAATAAAGCCTCTTTCTCCTCGTAGAATGATGAACTCATGTTGTGGTGTAAGAGGATGTTCCATCCGAACTTCCAATATATGAATTGTATGTTTCCTGAAATTTGTCTTAATAAAATTTCTGGTATTTCATGTGTTGAATGTGAGCTTGCTAAGCATCAAAGATCATCTTTTGAACGTTTTGAGCACAAATCAAGTGAGCTATTCTCTACTATTGATATTGATCTTTGGGGTCCCTCTCATATTCCAAATCACACATACTGAACCACTTATTTCATTTATCGATGACCATACATGTTTATGCTTGGTTTACTTACTCAAGGGTAAATCAAAAACTGCACTTGCATTTTTTTTTTTTTTTACCATGATCAAAAGCCAATTCCAAACCAAATATTATAGTACTTCATACCAATAATGACACTGGATATCTTAATAACACCCCAAAGGATTTTCTAAGGACTCAAGCAATAATTCATAAAAGCACATGTTCACAACCGTAATAGAATTAGAATGGGACTTCATAAAGAAAAAATTGGCCCCTCCTTGAAGTAGCTTGGGCTCTTATGTTTATAAGTAATGTTCCTAAATATTATTAGGGGATGCCATTCTTACTGTACCTACCTTAGATGCCTGGTAAAGTCCTCTCTTTTGCCTCACCCCTTGAAGAACTTTTGGACAGAGAAGTGAGAGACTAGGTTCCCATCAAAGGTTTTCGGTTGTTCTGCCTTTGTCCACATCCATATTCATTCCAAACTTGATCCTTGTGCTGTCCAATGCATTTTTCTAAGGTATTCTGTTAGAATCACTTTTTTATAGCTCTTTTGAGAGTTACAAGGCTTGTTAAGTGGCAAAAAGATTCACACAGACATGTAGTGTTGATTATAAGGAGATCTTTGCCCTAGTTGTCAAGTTAAATACCATTAGAGTAATATTATTCATACCAGAGAATTGTGATTGGCCTCTCATGCGACTAGACATTGAGAATGCCTGCCTTAATGGGGAGTTACAAGAGGAGGTATGCATGATAGTACCATTGGGATTTGGTGAAGGGGGAAGTAAACAAGTATGTAAGTTTAAGAAAATCTTTGTATGGCTTGAAACAAATCTTTAAATGCATGGTTTAACATATTCTCTTATGTCTTGAAGTGAGAAAGATACACACAAGGCTTGTACAATCACACCATGTTTTTCAAAGCATCAGAGCCAAGAAAGCAATTCTTATTGTTGTACATTGATGATATTGTTCTTACTGGTGATGATTTAGAAGAATTTGGTAGGATCAAAATTGCTCTTGCTATGGAATTTGAAGTTAAGGACCTTGGCAAGATGAAGTACTTCCTTGAAATGGAAATAGCTAGATCAAAGAAGGGGAGTCATGTTTCTTAGAGGAAGTACATACTTAATCTATTAAAGGAAATTGGTATTCTTGGATGCAAGTCATTGGAGACACCAATTGAGGCAAGAAGAAATGGGAAGGATGGAAGACTTGTTGACCAAGCACACAATTAGAGTCTATTGGGCAAGTTAATATATCTATGCCATACAAGACTTGACATCTTCTTTGCAGTGAGTATAGCTAGTTTCTATATGAGTTCTCCAAGGGCAAAACAAATAAAAGGCTTGTACCAAATGTTGAGGTATTTAAAGGTAACACCTGGCTGAGGATTGTTTTTCAGTATAATTCTTTTGTTGAAGTCTACACAAGATACAGTTTGGGCCAGAAATACTAGAGACCGAAGATCAACATTTGGTTATTACAGAAGAATTACATATCTTAACAAAGTTACCTATCAAGCTATATTGTGACAACAAAGCTGCCCTAGACATGGTTTTGAATCCTATTCAACGTGATAGGGTTAAACATGTTAAGATTGATAGATGCGACATAAGGGAGACTGTTGAAAATGGGAATTTGTTTGACCTGTGTGCCTACAAGACAACAACTGGCTGATATATTAACTAAGGGTCTTGTAAAAAGAAATTTTGAAGGCTACATAAGCAAGTTGGACATAATGAACATCCATGATTCAACTTGAGGGGGAGTGTTGTTATGATTGCATAATTTTTTGTAATTATTCTTTATTGTGTCTTTGATTCTTACTAGTGGAATTATATAGGATTAATTAGTTATTATTATTCCCAATTTCCCATTTGTAATTTGGCCAAACCTCATCCTAGCATTTCCTATATATATTGCTTCCTTCTCAATAGTAATATACACGATTTAGAGTGCAATTATGCACGATTTATGATGGTAAGTTTAATCATATGCTTAATTGTTATACAGTTGTGCTACTTGTGTAATACTTCTGCTGGTTTTAGTTCTTTCTGTTTGTCTATCATGTTACTAGGCATGAAACTTCTCAGCAGGACAACAAATAAGCAATCTATTAATTGTTGTACTCACTTTTTTTATTTTAGGTCTGGAGACTTCAGGCAGCTCTTGGGGAGCAAACAGAAATTACAAAATACAGTCAACAGGAGTTTGAAAGACTTCAGAATGTACAACTTCTATATCTGATGAGTACTTCGTACCTATTTGCTTGTGTGCTGTGTACATGTTGAAGTTTCTTGCATGATGTTTAAGATACTATCTGGCGGGTCACCATATGCAGTTTAAGATGTTTACATGGCTAACAAGAGTCTTGCCACCTAGGATTTTATATGATTAATTGAGTCTCTGCAAGGAAATCATTTATTCATTTCCCGAAACTCTATAAGTGTTGGTATCTTGTTTTATATAGGATGCAACTTTGTTTTTATGTGGATCAAAGTTTCATTATCATTTAAAGCAACCATAAATGATAACTAAGTTGACGATAAAATAAACTTTCCAAGATGCCTTTTGTAATGATGTTAATAGACCTGTAGCTAATGGGTTCTTATCTATTAGGCCAAGGTTAGGTCATGTGTAGTGTGTGTGGTCAAAGGGGGGAGGGAGGGTTCTGTGCTGTATGCGTTTGGGCAAAAGGGTTTGTTGGGGGGCTTAAGCAGACAATGAGTATTGTAAAGGAGAGACTCTAGCCTCTTGAATGTTAGGGAACCCATGAGTAAGTGTGTGTGTTGGAAGATTATAATTCGGATAGACGAAGAGGGGGAGAGAAGGGAAGAGGGAAAGAAAATAGGAGAAATAGAGGGGCTGAGAGAGAAGAACAATCAAGGAGAGACAAAGATTCTGAATGGTACACTAGTTTATTGTATGCAAGTTTGACGATTGAATAGTGTCTTGTTTACAGCCTAGGCTAATGACTATATCCCCAGCTAGCTTGCCTACTTTTTATTTTTATTTTAATTTTATATTTATACAACAATTCCCCCCTCCCAAGAATGATCCTTGCCCTCAAGGATCTGTGATAACAAAATCCGGGAATTTTTGCTGGAAGTTAAATAATGGTATCTATGATGCTTCTTCATCCATCAAGCCTTTCCACTGCACAAGAATCCTTGTAATAGTCCTTTTTCTTCCAGTCCTCTTATAGTTATTATGTATTTTCCTTAGTTCCAAGGCTGGAGGAATTTTTGGATAAACTGGTGGTGGGTGTCATTGCTTAACAGTAGGGTTTGGGCAACGTTTTAGGAGTGAAAGACGAAAAGTAGGGTGAATTCTTGAATCTGGAGGTAATTCCAGCTTGTAAACAACAAACCTGATTTTCACTATCACCTTGTAAGGCCCAAAGTACCTAGGCTCCAGCTTTTGTGAACTTCTAGAGGCAACTGAGATTTGTCTATAAGACTAATGTGAGAAATACCCATTGTGGTATAGCAAACTCTCAGTCAGTCTTGTGCAAATCCACCCTTTGCTTCGTAATGTTTACTGCTCTTTGCAAATGATGTTTGGCTTCTGTCAACCCTTTCTAAAATAGAATTATGGAGTAAATAAGGTGTGTGAATAAGAAGTTTTTGACCACATAGCAACTCATAAGGGGTTGCTTTTGCAGTTGTATGAAAAGAGGTGCTATGAATTTTTTATACAACGTGTGTGAATTTTTTTCCTTATTCTTCTATTTTCTAGAAACTTGTAGCTATTTTAGCTTAGACTTTACAGTCTGACTAGATTTTTCATATTTAAATAATATATGAGTAGTGGCTTCCATAATTTTGGCGTCAAAGCAGTTTGATTTGGGAGGGGAAATGGAAATCTCTTAGGTTGAGCTTGCAAGTTTTGAAATGAATGAGATATTTGAGAAGTTATTGAACTAGTTATATGATATGGTAGAAACATTGGACGCTTTGACAGAAAACAGAAAAATCAAAGGAAGAGGTACAGGCTGAGGCGAAGGTGCAAACTGAGGACAAAATTTTTGGAGTAGATAAGGGTGTGAAGGAAGAGAAGGACATGGAAACGGATAAACAACCAGACGATGGAATGGTTTAAAAGAGGAAGAGTAAAGGAGAGAAGAGAAGCCTCTTGAAATAGGGAAGAAATCAAAGTTGCTAACTGAAGAGGAAGTGACTGATGAGAAAGAGGGGGGAAAAAGATGGAGTTGAAATTGAAGTTAAGGAAGCTAATGATATAATTGAGGAAGCAGAGGAAGAGCTGCCATATGAGAGAAATGAAGAAGAAAATAGTGAAGGTGTCACCAGATTTAAGGTTGCGGTAGAGAGCAAAAATGGCGTTTACATCCTGTTTGAGGCTGCAAACACCAGAATCGGGAGTCATTGACTAGGGTAGAACTTTCCATTGGTTGAGGCTTCGTCATTACACTTTTTCATCCATCTTCTATTAAGACAATGGCAATGATCTCATTAAGGGAGGGTAATGCCTCCCTCCCAAGTATTTGTATCGTTAAAGAATCAAATGCCACATTTGGTCCTGCAAGATACTCAAAGATCTGCCTTTTTTGAATAAAACTTTTGAAGATAACATCTTCACTACATTTTATAGTGATATACTGGTATCGATCTAGTTCTTGCCATAAGCTCTTCATAATAGTAGAATGCTCTCTGACAAATTTACTTCCATCCTTTTGTGTTAGAAATCTTGGTTTTGATTTCTTAAATCTGAGCTGCATCCTTTACCTTTAAGTAGGTTAGATGTATCCCAAATTCCATTTGTCAGAGAAAGGAGTAAGCAGGTTTGACAATCCTAGGGAGTCTTCTTCATCTCAAGCATCAAAGTTTGGATCAATTGGCTTAGGACCTGTTCCAAGCAACTGACTAAGTTTCTCACGAGCCTTCAAGAAAGTGCGAACGAACTGAAACCAACTTAAAAAATTAGTTCCATTCAACTTGCAAGCTGTCGAAAGACTTTGCTAGTCTCCAAAAAACAATCATAACACTGACTGTGGAAAACCTAGCACTATTAGAGGTATGTTTTGCATCTATCATGGCTTAGGACAGAGAGAGAACTCGATTCCAAGCAGAACGAGCTTAATAGGTGTTAGAAAGAAAGCCAGACATGCAAGCGAGAAGCAAGAAGCAGCTGTGCTGAGAAATGGCGAAAAACACATGGTGTCATGTGCCTTGTCAAAATCTTCCCCAGTGAGGGGGTTTCAATTGATTGCTATCCTCTGAAGACAATGCTGTGATGTGTGTCTTGAACAGAGGACATAAAAGACTATGTTAGTCTAGGGCCATGAGGCTATTAAAGGGAAAATAGGGTTTTCTAAGAACAAAAAATGAGAACTTGGGGTTTTAGGGTTTGGCTAAAGATGAAAATTAGTTACGAACAAGGGTAGGCTCTAGCACCGCAATAGAAGTCGAGAAAAAATTGTTTTTGATGATTTATTCACTTGAATACAAGGGTATTAAAGTTTCATCTAGAGCTTATAACCCCTAACTAATTGCTAATAAGACTTAACTACTAACTACTAGCAAGACTTGTGAATTAATTTCATAAGCACATCATTTAACATGTTTCCTTCCTTGTCTAATGCTGACACACAAAGAAAAGAGACAACAACAACTTCAAAAGAGGAAAGGAATGAAGGCAAGGGACGTGTGTTGTTTCTACATAAAATTTCAGCAGTACCTGTTTATGTTTTTGAATTGTTCAGAAGCTTTAATGATGAATTTGGTGTGCTCGAAATCACCCATCAGTTTATATTGCGTCTGGTCTAGTCCTCGGGGGAAGGATTGCTTGCCATAGACATTAACGTGTGGGTTTGGGTCGGAGGTCTTTTTGGGGAATTTTGGACAGCCCCAAGGGAGAATGACCACACATCTTCAGTATTGATTTTTTTTTTTTTTTAACAAGTAAAAGGGTCCTTGGGCTGCAGATTAGTGTATGGGCTATCATAATTTCAGGTCAATGAGCACTAATAATGACTTTCAAGGTCCAAGTTGTTGAATGTGAGGCTTGGTTCGATATGGTTATGCTATGACCTAATTGAAGTACCATACCAGTATTTACAATCTTTAGTATTATATTGCTCAATATGTTCACACCTTTACGGATAATTTTACTAATTTCATCTGCATGAATGGTTACCATGAATATTTCTTAACATTAATGTTGTACGACATTGGAAGTCTCAAGTTGAAAATACCATCTTGCAATATGAAAGTTCATAATGGCAACACTATTCGAAAGTTGGAATTTTCGCAAGCTATGGATTCTAACTTTGGAACACCCTTCTATCAGATTATTGTAGTTTTATTTCTGGTTCATTGTTTGGGACTGTTGGAATATAGTGACATAATTAATGGACTGATCAAAATTAGTGGTTTTCTTGGGAAATCCATTTCCGTTCAATCATTGTTGCCAATAATTTCTATTGTAAGAGACTCTCAGCAAAAGAACAGCTGATTTTCAACTTAGTTTCAATGAACCTTGGGCTTCTATAGTTGATTTTGTTGTCTATGAAGAGTCTCATTGAAGAGATTGAATCACATATCAAAGGTTCAATATGGAATTCAGTTATTCCTCTTGGTGTGAACAAGAAAACAGAAGCTGAGCTGTAAAGGAAGGAAGCCACCAATGCTTGCCTCTACTTTTCACCTTGAGGACAAGGTGAAGCTCGGAGGGCCAAGTACTGATGAGCCCTTAACTAATGTGCTTTTATCTGCTTGGCCAAGGCTGGGTTATGTGGAGTGTGTGTGGTAAGAGGGAGAGGAAAGGCTGTGTGCTATCCGTACTTGGGCAAAAGGGTTTTGTGGGGGTTTAGCAGACACTGTTGTGGCTATTCTGTTTTCTAGAATCTTGTAGCTATTCTAACGTAGACTTACCCTCTGGCTAGCTTTTTCATTTCTTAATATTACATTTAAGCAGTGGATTCCATCAGATATATGATACTATTAGTTATTAAGGACATTCATGTATAATTATTAAGGACAGGAAATAAGCTCGCGCGTGTGTATAAAAACAAGTGCGGGAATAAAGTCATGTATGATACAGGAAGAACGATGGGGATAATGGTGGATGAAAAGATAAAAAAATGGAGAGAATAGAGAATCCGGACTCCTTTGGAAACATTAAGATCAAAAGATGGAAATGAAGATTATATTGTATCCTCTTTAAATTGTATCAAGTGCATTCAAAGGGTATTCATGTTTGACTTGTTAATGTCATCTGGTCACATGATTCTCGCTGCTCTTTGTGGTTTCTTTGCTCGAGTCTTCTTTTTAACATTCTTTATCAAGTTCTGTAAATGACTCTAACCTATATGTACATGTATTTGTTGCATGAATCAGGAGAAAGTGTTGTGCAGAATTTGTTTTGAGGGGGAGATTAGCGTTGTATTGCTACCTTGCAGGCACAGAATCCTCTGCAGGTACTTCTAAATGCATTATTGTGCCTTTTATGATGGGAAAATTGCTCTAAGGTCCACCCAAGAGAATTAAATACAAGAAAGTTATTTGAAATCATCAAATTAATTTGAAGTCCCAAGAAACTCCATTACAAGAGATTCCACTCGTTCAATTACTGTATTACTCTCATCTTTTTTTTAAAGTATGCATCGGTCATCAACAACTTAAGGTGTAATAATTTACAATTATCGTGACAAGTATTAACAACCCATGCATTATATCTTTGTGACGTGTTAAAAAAATGTGTTATTAATATTTACCGTAATAGTTGTTAATTGTTACACTTTAAGTTGTTAACGACTTCCCTTTCAATTGTCAACACGTATCTAAAAAAGTTGAGGGCAATTTAGTAATTAAGCAAGTGGAATCTTTTACAATGAGGTTCTTTGGGGCTTTAGATTAATTTGATGATTTTAAGGATTCTTTTTTTATTTAATTCTTTTGAGTGAGACTTTAATAGATAGAATTTTTCGTTTTATGATTGCTAAGGGTTCGTTTAGTGTGCAAAATAGAGAGAATTATAATGGATAAAGTTGTTTTGAGGATTAAAAAAAATGTTTTCTCCTTCCCTTGAAGCAAAGGAAAATTAATCTATTTATCCCTGATTTTTTCACTGGTTCGTACTTAAGAAGGATAGAATCCGTTAAAATGAATACAAAAGGATGGTAGACATATACAAAAAAAAAAAAAAAGGCGGAATGTCATTTCAATTGTTGTACCAATTGGACCAGAAGATCTGTGTTCGTTGCATTCAAACGCTGTTCTTATGCTTAATCATGATGACCTGCAGCACTTGTGCTGAGAAGTGTAAGAGGTGCCCAGTTTGCCGGCTCTCAATTGAGGAGCTACTACCTGTATATGATGTTTAGGTTTTAACGTGGCTAACTTTTTGTTCAAGACCGTGGAAGAAATGGCGCTAAAGAAAGTGTACCATAGTTTAACAGGATGAGTATGCCGTATAGTTTTAGCAGCGACACCGATGCAACGCAGTGTCTAAATTAACAGAGGCATAACGAGAAATCACCATACAGATGTTCTTTGGAATTTGATTTTACCCGTGTGTAATTTGTATATGCTAAATGCTCACAGGCTATGTTAATGCGATTGGTGACTATGATGAGTTGTAGCTTTTTGGATGAATGGGTTGGTTGTAAGTTTTGTTTGGGCACACGACGTCTGGGTTTCATCTGCAGATTTTTGCTTGTATATAATTTTAATCTAGATTTGAGTATTAAAAGATTCAAATAAGCAATAGCTTTTCCCATTTATAATAAATGAGGCTCCTTCTAGATTTGAGTATTTAAAGATTCAAATAAGTAATAGCTTTTCCCATTTATAATAAATGAGGTGATTCTATGATTGCATTTATAATTTGAAAGATTAAAATAAAAATGATTTTTTTTTGGGAAAGTAACATTTGAAGTGCACTTAGATTTTGCGACAAAAAAAAAGTACACTTAGATTTAAAAAAATAATAAAAACAGAGAAATTATTGAATGATGTTTAAAAGATTATTGTTTGACAAAATAAATCTATAGCTGATAAATAAGAAAACAATAAATTTATAATGCAACGCTTACATTTTATTAGTTATTAACAATTTTCATTTAACAAGTAATAAGATTACTCTTTTTAAATTATTTTTTTTAGGTTGTTTGCAATTTTTATATGAATATTAACAATATTTTATTAGTTATTAGTAACTTAATAACTTTTGTTTAAGAGGGGCGGGTGATTTACAACTTAGATATGGGTATTGATTATACTCATTTCTATTCTTATTATAAGTTTTAAATAATTAATTTATGAATAACGAATAATTAGTTAAAAAGTAATAAATAGGTTAAAAATATATTTTTGTTTTTAAATATGTCTTTATAATAAATTTAAAAATGAAAGAAAATGTATAGAGAAATGTGATAAGAGAGTGTGATATTGGAGAGAAAATAAATAATTAAGGCTAAAATTAAAAAAATATGTTAAATGCTTAAACAACCTCTAAATTGAAGCTTATAAAATGAACCATACACCTCTCCAAATTTAAAGCTTATAAATAAAATTGGAGGGAGTATTTCATGAGCTACTTTTTCGGTATTTGATATAAAACCTAATTAATTAATTTGAGTAAATTAATAATGTTAGTTAAATTAGTTAATATGATATAGTTTTTCTAAAATATCTAATCATCTTTCTTAATTTATTCCCTTCCTCTTCTGTTTGATTATTATTGAAAGAATATCAATAAGTTAGTTTGAAAAAATTAATAAATATATAAAATAAATCTTACATATAAGATTATTAGTGTTAACAAAGTGATTTACACCTAAGTATTTGAAAAATAAAGGCATTTATATCATTTGGCTTCTATTTCAAATTACCTATCATTTATGACATTTTCAACTCTTAACTTCCCAATTGACATTTCAAACTTCTTTTTCCGGCATTTTCTCTACATATTTTTTTTTATTAATTATCACACATTGAATAAAGTATTTATTTTATTTCCTTTTTTCAGGCTCTTATATTTTTCCCACCCATTCTCTCTCTCTCACTCCCCAATTTTCATAAAGATATATGAAAATATATTTCATATATTTATTACATTTATTCAATTTTAGAATGAATTGACATATATATCTCGTAGCATATTAAATTAGTCTTTTATGGCTAATTGTCATTTCGCCGAACAAAAAGTAAGTTTTCAGGCTGGTGCGTGTTGAGAAGAAAGGAGGAGAGCGGTTAAAGAAAAGGAGCTATTCGACCGCATAAACTAATCACGGGCCAACCAAAAACCCGTGGATAAAGCTTTCTTCCACTTGAAGAGGGTGACAAACCAAGGAAAGGAACGATTAAACACAAACCATGATCCCCTGGGCCCCAAAAAAAAAAAAAAGAACAAGAACAAGAAAACGAGATAAGATCCCCGGTTTGACCAATGAAAAGAAATGCGATTGACAAAACCGGACCGGTGAACTGCGGTCCCGTCATTCCTGCATCAAGCGCCCGGAGCCGCATCCTTCACCTTGCTTTGCAAATACCCGCCGTATTCCCTAGCGTAATCCTTTACATGGCTCGCCGTGTCATAAATCCGGTTCCGAGCATAGTCGATCCGGTCCGAACCGGGTGGGTTCAGCCCCCGGAAGTATCGGTACATCCATGAGAGTACAGCGACAACGACGACTCCAAATCCGCACATGGACAAGAAACCCGCAAGGACGATGAACAGAACGGCTGCGACCGGGACCCATATTGGACTCGATACGATTATCAGAGGCGCAAAGAAGATCAAACCCAGAACGGCACCAGCGACGGTTAGGCTCGTAAGGAGGAGCAAGACGGATCCGGTGATTAAAAGCGTCAAGACTCCTATCAATTGGATGGAGTTCGGGACGTGCTCATGAAGTCTTTGAAGAAATGTGGATGAGTTATAGGGAGGAGCAGTGGCTCTCTGATGGTGGACTGAGCTTGCAAAACCGTCAGCCATGATGGGAAGAGCCGAAGGTCTTTGGAGGAAGAAACAGGGGACTGGTTAAGGCGGAAAAGAAGAAAATGTGTTAAATGGGACAGATGGGAGAAGGAGGGCCCTGTACTGGGGACACGCAAGGGTACACGTGGAGGACGGATTCTCGGGTTTGAGACCGACTCGTTCTTTTATAAAAGGGATTCTTCTGTATCCAAAAAAAAAGAAATTAAGGAAGGATTGGTACAGGGCTCTAGCGTAGACAAGGACGGCAGCCTAGCGATTTGATCAAGCCATAGATCCTGTTCAGCTTACCGCATAGGTTCATGGCCAAAATAAATCATGATAGACTCGGTTATGGAATCTCATTGGAGTTCGTTCCGTTCGATCTATCAGACTATCGCGACTAGATTTTCTTTGTTCAATAGTGTTCTCTATCGAAATAACTGAAGATCAATGCGGCATGGAAAATGAATTGAGAGAAAAAAAAATTGTCAAATAATCTGACTAGATCAGAGCACCAAAGCTTAAACGCTTCAACATGAAGGAAGCAATAATGATGATCATGTACTACCTCATTATTTTGATTTTTATTTTGTTTATAAATATAAAATTTTAATTCATTTTATTTCTCTTTTTTTTTTAAGATAGTCATTCTAATAATAGTAGTTCTAACTAATAAACTTAATTAATAAGGATATTTTAGAAAAGACAATACCTATTTAATACAAATAATTTACTTAACTTATATTCTTAATCTACTCAAATTAGTTACCTAACTCTTATATTTAGGACAGGAGATAATATTATATTTTCCCATTCATTTACATTCAAAACGGAATATGTAATGTATCAACCTAAAAAATCATATAATATATGGAAGCAGTTTTAGTCCTGCGATTGGCACTGAAAGTTAAAACGGCTATAGTATAAACATCGGGGGGGCGTAATATGAAGTCTCAACAGTCAAATGCTGTCTAACTTTCCAAAATGATTTCATGTAAGCAGCCTGTTGCTTTGTTGGGAAATACGTGTTGAGGAAACTGGAGGTGTGTATCAGCTAGGTCCGAGTCGTGCCGGCAAACACTGTCCTTAAGAGTTATTCTGCTATCGTAGGTAAACGTGAGTGCGGCACTCCCTAGGATTAAACGAACCCTTCCTGCAGAAAACAGGATGACAGAACAGTAGAAAAATATAACCCAGCACCACAGAAACACAGAGAGGGAAGAAGAGAAATGCAGAGGAGGAACAGATGCTCGAAAGTTCAAGAGTGGGGTGCAGAACACACTGTCCTGGACCGCTTTATATAGGCCTCGGGGACCTAACCATTGGGCACCATCATAAACACGATTAACTCGTCGGTTTCATACGTTACTGCATTAATCTGTAATTATACTGTCGGTTATGAACGTTGGGTACATTTAAGAAATAAATTTCGGACGTTACCAAACATTAACCCATGAGAAACAGTTTAAGGATTAATGGAGGATTAATCACGGTTTGAAAACTCCCAACATTCAGTAACCTTCAGCTGTTACAAAAATAAACGGTCAAAAGAAGTATTTTCTGATAAACTCTCTTAACATCATTTTATAATTTAATTTTGCAAAAGTGATTTACAAAAGGTGCCCGGTATTGTTCTAATTCGCGCGCAGGGGGGAAATCGCCAGTTTTCAACTGCGTTTCCCTCCTGGTAGGCTGTTGTTGCGTGCGCGAGACCCTCCTTCTCCTCTAGCCCATTTACTAGCCCAATAATGTGTGATAGTATTTATACACTTGAGTTCCCTCTCTCTTGGGCAATGTGAGACTTCACTTTTGACACACCCCTTTACATACACAACAATCCCCCACATGTGTCAAAAGGGAATACGTACAACTGAGTTACACATGGATATAACCATTTCGAGTCTAGTGTCTTTCAGACTATGAACCAGATCTAGACCAATAATACTTAGCACATAGAGATGTTAGTGAAGCCTACTTCTATGAACCAACAGCTCTTAGTATGCGTTAGAGGTATCAAGAGTCAGATTATACCCCCACAATTTCTACTGTTTACGACGGTTTTGCGCGTTATGACGGCCATGCGCGTGCCCAGTTCTTAACGAATGCTCTAGAGATTTTGCCACGATCTCATAGGAGCGGCCCTACTCCACATTCGTAGAGGTGATTTCATCAAGTGTACCTGCAATGAGCACACCATCCCGTGGGATTATGAAATCATTAAGAGTTTTCACTCAGCCTCGCTAATAAATGCATTCTAGCACTTTCTCACATCATAGGAAGGGACTATGAATTTACAATAGTGCTAGCAGAACTAACAGACGATTTGTTTTTCCCATATGAACCTTCTTCATGGGGTCTCTAATTACAAAGGTTGGGTTTCCATCATTGTTAATTTCATGTTGGCTTAAGTCCCATTCCCCTCGATGTTTCGATAATCTGTTTTTTCCCCAGGGGTTTCGTAAATGGATCCACCAGATTCACTTCTGATCTCACAAAATCGATTGAGACTACTCCGTCTTTGAGCAACTGCTTTAGAATATTATGTGTCAATCGTATGTGTCTACTTTTACCATTGAAGGTTTTGTTTTTCACTGTAGCTATTGCAGCTTGGTTATCGCAATGCAAAGACATTGATGGTGGTGGTTTTTTTCCCAATGGGATATTAGCCAAGAAGTTTTTCAACCACTCAGTCTCTGTACTAGCCAACTCCATAGCAATTAGCTCTGAATCCCTCGAGGATTTAGATAGAATGGTTTGTTTGGCTGACCTCCATGATATTGCACCACTGCCAAGAGTGAATATATAACCACTAGTGGATTTGGTCTCCTCTAAATCTGAGATCCAGTTAGTATCACTGTATCCTTCTAATACAGCGAGAAATCCACTATAGAGAATACCATAACTTATGGTACCTTTCAAGTATCTCAATACTCTTACCAAGGCTACCCAGTGTTCACTGCTTGGACAGTGAGTATACCTGCTCAATCTACACACAGCATATGCTATGTCTGGCCTGGTGAAGTTCGCTAAATGCAACAGACTCCCAATGATCTGTGCATATTTAGATTGAGCAACTGGTTCCCCTTTATTTTTAAACAAACTCACACTAGAGTCATAAGGAGTACTCAACGGATCATCATCACATCCAAATTTTCTAAGAATTTTTTCAACATAGTGCTCTTGAGATAATAAAATGTCATTTTCAGTTTTTGTTATTTTAACACCCAAAATAACTTTTGCTTCACCCAGGTCTTTCATATCAAAATTAGAAGCAAGAAAACGTTTAGTTTCAAACACAACATCTGGACAAGTACCAAAGATCAGCATGTCATCCACATATAAGCAGATAATCACACAGTCATTGTTCACAAGTTTGGTATAAACACACCTTTCTACCTCATTAGTAGTGAAACTGCCATTAGTTAAGACTTGATCTAATTTTTCATGCCATTGTTTAGGCGCTTGTTTTAGGCCATATAAAGATTTCACAAGTTTACAGACTTTGTTTTCTTGCCCATGAGCAACGCACCCTTCAGGTTGTACCATGTAAATCTCTTCTTCTAAATCACCATTTAGAAAAACTGTTTTAACATCCATTTGATGAATAAATAGTTTATGAATTGAAGCCAGAGCAATAAGAATTCTTATAGAAGAAATTCTTGTTACTGGGGAAAAAGTATCAAAGTAATCAATGTTTTCTTTTTGTGTAAAACCTTTAGCTACTAGCCTCGCTTTGTACTTATCGATAGAACCATCAGGAAAATATTTTTTCCAAAAAACCCATTTACAGCCAATTGGTTATGCTCCTGGAGGCAAGTCAACTAAAACCCAAGTTTTGTTTTGTTTTAAAGAATCAATTTCAGCTTGAATTGCTTCTTTCCAAAAAGGTGCGTCTGGAGAAGAGGTCGCTTCATAAAAATTTCTAGGTTCATCTTGTACTAAATAAGTGTAGAAATCATCTCCAAAGGAGGTTTCCTTTCTTTTCCTTTTACTTCTCCATAAACTTTCGACTACGTTTTCATTTGAGTTTTGCTCAGAAGAATTTTCAACAACTCTAGGGATACGCTCAGCTTTCAAAGGAAAAATGTGTTCAAAAAATTCTGCATCTTTAGTTTCAATAATGGTATTTTGACCCAAAACATCACTTTTTAAAACCATAAAACGATAGGCGGTGCTTTGCTGAGCATACCCGATAAATAAACAATCAGCAGTTCTAGAACCTATTTTCCTCTTTTTAGGGTCAGATAATAACACTTTTGCAAGACACCCCCACACTTTTAAGTAATTAAGACTAGGTGCAAAGCCTTTCCATAATTCATAAGGAGTTTTGTTTGTTTTCCTATGGGGTATTCTATTTTGTAGAAAACAGGCAAACAAAATGGCTTCTCCCCAAAGGTTATCTGGTGCAGTAGAGCTTACAAGTAAAGCATTCATCATCTCTCTTAGTGTTCTATTTTTTCTTTCCGCAACACTGTTAGATTCTGGGGAATATGAAGGAGTTACCTCATGAATAATTCCTTCTTTTTCACAAAATTCATTTAATTGTAAAAATTCTCCTCCTCTATCAGATCTAACTCGTTTAATTTTTCTGTCTAATTGATTTTCTACCTCAGCTTTATATGACAAGAATTTTTCAAAGGCCTCGTCTTTATTTCTTAACAAATATAATTTTGTATACCTTGAAAAATCATCGATAAAAGTTACATAATATCTTTTACCACCTCTAGTCTCAGTTTGTTTCAAATCACCTAGATCAATGTGTATTAAGGATAACAACTCGATTTCTCTTTGAGTAGGAAAATGTGATTTTTTAGTTTGTTTTGTTTCTGCACACACTTCACATTTATTAAGAATATTATTTTTAATCCCTGATATTAGCTCTAGATGATACGGCCTTTTTATATAAGGTTTACTTATGTGTCCTAATCTAGCATGCCACATATCAAAAGAATCAACATAGAACACAGGCAAGTAAGCAGAAGAAGCATTTCCATTCATTTCAGCAATGTTCAGTACAA